ATAACTTTCATAAGTTTATGTTGATTAGCCAGTTAGTAACCCATCAGAGCAATCTTTTTGCTTTCAATTTTCTCGAAAACCATCGCTCTAGGCGATGTGCAACAAGAGTAGGGGAGAGTGTTGTACCTTGAACCATAATGTACATCTGACCGCTTCGAATTTCACTATTTGTCGATGCAGTTTCCGTTCACCCATATCGCCGCTAGATTACGCACTTCCAACCTACAGATGGCGCCCAAAGTAATTCAACCAGAAACGAAGTTCTCCGAAGTTATTTCATATTCGTCGTTTATCGAGTGTGAAAGTAAATAATAAACAAATAAAAATCTGTAATCATCTGCGTACTTTTAAAGGGTAAGTTACTTGTGTTATGTTATTTTGTTACAACATTTCCTTCTTCTTGCGCATGTGTGAATAATTTTTGCTTATATTTAGTTTTATTGTTTTTACGTTTCAAGGGTTGATAAAAGCAACTGAAAATAAATTATTTTCCATTTTATTTCAAATGTAAGCCAGTTTAATTTTATCTTCCAGATTGGTCAAAAATGCTACGAAGCAAGAGTGGCAAAAAGCGTGAGAAAGTTGAAGCAGAAAAATTGACACAAGCTGTAGAAGAATGCATCAATGAAGGTATTGCCATTCGAGAGGCAGTAAGGCGATATGGAGTATCAAAAACAACGTTAATTAGACACATTCGTAGTTTTAAAAACTCAGAAGCGGAAAGATTTACATACAGCACAAAAAACAATGTGAAGCAAGTAGTCTCGAGAAATGAGGAGGAATCCTTGAAAACTTATTTAGTCACGGCTGCTCGTCTTCATTATGGGTTGACGAGGGTAGAGGTTAGGAAACTAGCCTACCAGTTTGCATCAGCAAAAGAGAAGCGGTATCCTGTCATCTGGGATGAGAGAAAAATTGCCTGTGGCGTCCAGTTTGGCGAGATCCACGGCGTTTAATCGAGTTAATGTCACTACATTTTTTGACAATTACAAAAGTGTGTTGTCCAGAGGAACTTTTCCTGCAAAGCAGATTTGGAATATCGATGAAACCGGTATAACGACCGTACACGTTCCTCCTAAAATTATCAGTTCCAAAGGAGTTAAACAAGTTGGACAGATGACAAGTGGTGAGCGTGGTCAAAACATCACTTTGATTGCGGCCATAAATGCACTTGGAAATGCCATCCCACCAATGATGATATTTCCGCGGTTCATTTCAAAGCCCATATGCTCAAGGGAGGTCCAATTGCTTCGATTGGAGGAGCTAATTTGTCAGGTTGGTCAAATTCAGATCTGTTCTATGAGTTCATGCAACATTTTGTGAATCACGTCAAGCCGAGTGTCGGCAAACCGATACTTATTCTATTATATAACCATGATAGTCATATCAGCATCCCAACAATTGATTTTTGCAAAGCAAATGGAATCATATTGGTGACATTTCATGCCCACGCAAGTCATAAGTTTCAACCGTTGGATAGGACAGTATTTGGAGCCTTTAAAGCTTACTATAATACGGCTTATAACGAGTGGATGTTAATGCATCCTGGCCAACCAATCACCATATATGATATAGCAGAACTAGTTGGTAAAGCTTTTCCTCAGGCTTTTACACCGCTTAATATTCAAAAGGGATTTGAAGTATCAGGCCTATACCCACTGAATGAAAATATTTTTCAAGAACATGAGTTTCTAACCAGTTACATAACAGACCGCCCGTCAACTGTAACAGAGAGTGGGCCACTCAATTCCATTAGTGATTCATTACCATCTACAAGTTCGAATACACTTTTAACTGCCTCTGCTTCAAGTTCGGATACACCGTTAGCTGCCTCTGATTCAATTTCGGATACACCGTTAGCTGCCTCTGCTTCAAGTTCGAATGGATTCTTAGCTGCATCTGCTTCAAGTTCGGATACACCGTTAGCTGCATGTGCTTCAACTTCGGGTACACCCTTAGTTGTCTCTGCTTCAACCATCACACCTGAAATATTGCGTCCATTCCCTAAAGCACCTATGCGGAAGGAAACTGGTGGCCGTCGTAGAGGCAAGTCGCGTATTCTTACGGATACGCCAGAAAAAGAGGAGCTGGAGCAAAAACGAGATCTTCAAGCTGCTAAAAAGGTTACCAGAAATTTGTCAATAACCAAACGTCAGAAAGTTAGCAAAAACGAAAAAAAAGAACTTCATTCGTCTGAAAGTAAGTCAGCTCCCTCGATGTCTTCTGGAGAATATGAAACCTTGGACGATATTATTTCTGAAGACAAAGAATGGTTGGAAATTGATAGTTTACAACAGTTGAATGAAGACAATGAATTTCATGGAGGTGATTTCGCACTAGTGAAGGTGGCAGGAAATAAATCAATAAGCTTTTATGTTGCTGAAATCGTAAGCTTCGGTAATAATAATGAGATTAGATACTTACGAAGAATCAACAAAACGGGTCTTGTGCAGAACAGGTCCCCACGAAATCATGTTTTTTTTAATTTTTAATGTGGATCCCATAGTTAATGGAATGGTTTAAAAGAAAAAAATTGTTGGATGAACCACTTTTTCTACGAAAAAAAATAATTGAAAATTCCAAATTTTCACTACATTTCAATGCGAAAACTCCCTATTATAACCTTCATAAAGACAGTAAAATACAAGGTTATGCACAGTGTTGCCATACTCACCCTGTGTAAAATCGACGAAAACGTTCTACTTTATATTCGTTTTTTTTACATTTAGTACGCACTTTAAGAACACGAAAAATTAAAAATATAATAAACGAGGCAAAACAAAAACACTATAAAAATAAATTGACAATAAAATCATTACACAGTATTTAGCACAATTGTTTAAAAATATATTTTTCCCGGATTTGTTCAGTAAGATTCCGAAATGGATGTGATCTGCGTACTTCCAAACACTCCCCACCAACCTAACCTAACCAATGCATTAACACCCCCAAATAACCAGGCTAACCATGCATTAACACCTCCAAATAACCAGACTAACCAATGCATTACCACCCTCCAAATAACCAGAATATCTAACCTAACCTAACCAATGCATTAACACCCCCAAATAACCAGGCTAACCAATGCATTAACACCCTCCAAATCACCAGGCTAACCAATGCATTAACACCCTCCAAATAATCAGGCTAACCAATGCATTACCACCCTCCAAATAACCAGCCTATCTAACCTAACCTAACCAATGCATTAACACCCCCAAATAACCAGGCTAACCAATGCATTAACACCCTCCAAATAACCATGCTAACCAATGCATTACCACCCTCCAAATAACCAGGCTAACCAATGCATTAACACCCCCAAATAACCAGGCTAACCAATGCATTAACACCCTCCAAATAACCAGGCTAACCAATGCATTACCACCCTCCAAATAACCAGGCTAACCATTGCATTAACACCCTCCAAATAACCAGGCTAACCAATGCATTACCACCTTCCAAATAACCAGGCTAACCTAATTGAGCCTAATGACAAAACTTCATTGATTACGCGTCGAAAAACAGTATATATTAAAAAAACTTATATTTTCGTAGAACCTGAAAAATCCGCAAATTTTATTTCAGAAATTGCTTTAAAATAATCCACACTAACGAATAAGCTACTAGACAGTTCAATTTTTGTTGCACTAAAGTGATAACTTACCGTTTTAAGTCCCTCCACAACAACTTTATTTCAGAAGAAAATCATATAAAGTAATTTTATTGACAACGTCGCAAATTCTAGCGAAGGCCATAGATGACATACCGATGATCGATTAACTGTCAATCGAAAAAGTCATAAAATTGCTAGCTTGAGCTGATGTAAATAAATATATTTTCTTAATTTTTATGCTTACAAAGAAGATTCGTTACATTTTTGTGCTTAAATTAGATCATTCCACGTCTATATAAGGTAATAAAGTACTAATATGTGATGTTTTTACGTATTTACTGTCCGTCGCCTGTACCTAAAATACGTTTTTTTGCCGCTTTTTAAAGATAAAACACATTCATCCAACAATTTTTATGCTTAAAAATATTCAGTTTAAGATAATCTTGCAAAAAAATTCCAAAAAAGTGTTAAATGCGTGGGGACCTATTGTGCACCAGAGCCAACAAAACTAATAAATTTGTGAATGATTCTGAAGAAACATACGATTTTTGTGCTTCTGATTTACTGTGTAAATTACCTAAACCAAAAACCGTGAAAGGCACTGCTCGGCGTAGCTCATTATTGTATTTTGAGGTTAACTTTGACGGCTATAATGTCAACTAATTTCTAAAGAGTTTGTGTATTGTTAGTCGTTAAATATTAAACCAAGTATTACCGATTTCTTTAGTTTTTTTTTGGACTAAGGTACAATCGTTTGTGGACCAAAGTACATTACTAGTTTGTATCTCGGACCGATTTGCATTACTCATTAGAAAATGTGATTCTGAGTTTTTGGTTTATTCTATCCAGGTCTGGATGAAATAAATTAATGAATCAAAGTCACAGATACTCTATATTTTTCAAAAATCATGCAAAAAAGTCGCAAACAAAAAGTTACGGCGCCTTTAACAAAAATGGACCAAGGTACAACACTCTCCCCTATCTTTTTTGTAGGAGAAAGTATGTAGTTTTCAAAAAATGAACCCGCGTTGCAAAAAAAAATAACCTCAAAAAAGTTATTCATGAAACAACCTCCTACCCTTGCAAAAACTACCCTTTCCGCTTTTCCAAATAATTTTTCTGTATCACCATTTGATTTAGAGTCAAAATTTATGGCAGTGGATTTTTTTTCGAAGTTTTATCTCGTTTTTTAAGCCTACAATTTCAAAACAACCGTTTTTTAAATTCACCCTTTCAGTGCCCCTAATTCCCTTAATATGCATTTTCCGCCCTATACTTATAGGAACTTTTTTTACTATTTTTAGGAGTACTATCACCCCCCAATTTTTTTTACACCATTTTAATAACACCCTGTATATGAAGGACGTATTGGTTAAATGCTTACAGGCACTATGGGACTGTACTCTTCGCTGGGCTTGACTTCGCCATGGTGATGTCGATGTGGATGTGTGGATGATGGGACAGTGGTAGATGTGGAAGTGGTTGGTGCTCCGGTAGTAGTGGTAGTTGTTGATGGAGTTGTAGGCCTAGCTGGAAGCGTCACCGGGACTTTAGGTATCGGAGGATTTGTTTCTAAGTCGCCCAGGTTGTCCTCATCGTAATCGTCGTCGTATTCTCCGTAATAATCTTCATCGTAATCACCACTTCCTGAAACAATTTTGATAATAAGGTCATTATACTCAAGAACAAATAAATTAAAATTATTTAAATTATCAGTATATGGTGTTGTAATGACAGTCTTCAGAACTTTAACGTTTTAATAATAAAGATGTGCTGTGTATGTTCTCAAAGAACTTGATTTAGGCAATTTTAATAGCTTTTCTCTTTATTATTTTTAGAGGTTTAGCTTCTGACGAGCTCCTCAAACAATAGTTGTTTTTGTTGGTTATATTTTTTCCAAGGCTCTTTAAAAAGAATAAGTTTGAGTCATATTTCTCTCAGCGAAAAACTAGTTACGCCACTGGGTTCTACGTGGAAAACTCTACGGGACTTAGTTTTCACCTTTTCGATAAGTTATGAGACAATTAAGGTACGAAGGGGATCAAAAAATGCAACAATTTTAAATTCACTCTGGACTTGACGAACTAAAAAGGCGACAACTCTATAGCTCATATCAAATAAAGTTTTAGTCACGTGATTAAACTTGACCGGTACAGCGTTGCCGACTTTTACATATTTTCTTTTAATCAAAATATTTTAGGAAACAAAAATAAATCAATTATAAATATATAAACAGTTATTATTTACATCCAACAAACTCACCTTCTTAACAGCATTTAAGGGACATAAAGGTTCATTACTACCGCTTTCCCGTTCAAAATATTCTAATAAAGTTGAAATGATTTTTTTACGGCTATTAAGTTATCTTGTACAGGGTGGGTCAAATTCGACCCTTTTAAAGGGAAACACCCTTTCCTATAGGAGATAGACGAAAACTAATATCGGTGTCTGGAGCTCAATTTTCATCAAGAACATGATGATGAAAACCCCACATCAATATCTGTTACCGTTTCGGAGTTAAGAGGTGTTTTTCAAAAATGTGCATTTTTAACAAATCGCTGTAACTTTTTTGCTATGGAAAATTTTGTATTTCTATGAAAACATTTCCAAAGCACCTTTTTACGTAGAATTTAATGGTTTAAGTATAATTTTTTTAAAATTAATAATTTAAGAGTTATCAACAGAAAAATTGATTTTTTATTTGGGACACCCTCTATATTTTTAATTAACTGAGAAGAATTTGTAATTTTAAATTCTTTCCAAAAATATAGCATACTTGATATTTTGTTATAATCCCTTTCGAAATACAGAATTTTTAAAAGTTCGCCACTTTTAACTAGTAGGCTTTGGGTCCCTTATTGATGATATGTCCTTAATGGAACTCGAAAACATATTTTCCAGCAAGACGACGCACCGCCTCTGAACGCTGAAGTTATGAGCAAATTTTTGCAGCCAATTTCACGAATAATTGAATAGCTAACCAAGATCCCAGCCGTTGGCCGTCGAGGCTGCCTTACTTAGTGCCCATGGATCTAATCCTATGGATATATTTGCGAAAGAATAAAGGTTCCTTATTCTTCCGTATAATCTAGACAAGAATTAGAAATACTTAGCAGTTATGAGAGGGTATCTTTCACACCAACTGTTGTGAAAGTGAGTTGAATTCCGCGAGAAATGTTCAAAAACTGTCCCGTCTGTCCATAACAGAAGACGGTTGATATGTCGAACACCTGTAGCAAAATCTCATGTCTTGGTTTGCTATTTATTTTTATTGTTATTAGGTATAGTTTAAATGTGTTGATGTTGGTTAAATATATTTTAAATTGTTATAAAATTCTGCATCTCTCATAGCAAATATTATTTTCGTTTTAATTGATGCTCACAGCTAGAATTGTTTTGCATTACAGCCGGTGCCGTTCAAAGCCTACTTATTTAAAGCGGGCGAATTTTTATATACTCTATATCTCGAAGAGGAATCGAGCAAAATATCAAGTGTGTTATATTTTTGGAAAGGTAATTTTATATTCTTTTCAATAAATTAAAAATATACAGGGTGTCCCATATAAAAAATCAAATTTTCTGTTGATAATTCTTAAATTATTAATTTTAAAAAAATTATACTTAAACCATTAAATTCTACGTAAAAAGGTGCTTTGGAAATGTTTTCGTAGAAATACAAAATTTTCCATAGCAAAAAAGTTACAGCGATTTGTTAAAAATGCATATTTTTGAAAAACACCCCGTAACTCCGAAACGGTAACAGATATCGATATGCGGTTTTCACCATCATGCTTTTGACAAAAATTGAGGTCCAGACACCGATATTACTTTTTGTCTATCTCCTATAGAAAAGGGTGTTTCCATTTAAAAGCGTCGAATTTGACCCACCCTGTACACTTCACACTAAAAGCGGTTCTAAAAAGAACAATCTTCGATTGCAACGTCTGCTAGTAAACATTTTTAAGCTTAAAGTATAATACTGTTTATTTAAACCAAAAACTCGTAATACAAAACTAAATTGTCAAAACAGATGACAATGTCAGGAAATAAATAAATAAATGTGGCAACTTGACATTTTTTACTGCAGAGCTACCACCTTAATCCCCAGAAGGAAATTTAAATTCCAATTAGTCAGCCCGGCGCCGAATAAGTCCATAGTTGGCAACAATGAGTTTAAAAATCGCGCCCTCGATTGCGTTACTAAAAGTTTAATTGGTATCAAATATATGCATTTTTAGTTTCATAAAAATGTAGCACAGTGATGTGAAAACCGCATCTTTGTAGCTCCACTCATAAACGAGAAATCCCGTAAAACAGAGGAAAATGGGACCCCCTGTACATTTTATGAGATAAAATGTTTGTTTCAACAATACAACATACATAGCTCATCTGTACATAGCTTTTGCTTCTGCAGATGATTTTACGATTATTACTGTAAAGTGTTTTTTTTTGAAACAATAAATATTGTTATTATTTATACAGTTTCAGTACTTCAAGGTGTATAAAAATTATTATATTTACCATAATCTTCCACAGCCGCTTGCCTTCTCTTCCTCAAGAGTTCCCTAGGCTCGGTCTTAACTCTCCATCCTAATAGCGGGAATCTGAGTACTTCGGCAATGGTACCGTCACGAGCTTGTTGCTTTAACGACTGCACCATGCCAGCTGAAGCTTCCCATAAGCGACCGTCACAGCCCACGGGGACTTCTAGCAACGATGGCGTTTTGGAGAGCTTGGTCACCACGTTACCTGGCCCGGCTAGTACTACCGAGCTGTCACTGATGTCGTCTTTCTCGTACTGTGGTCTCCAGGTTAAGGCAGTCTAAAAAGTACAACAAAATTGGTCAAGTGCGAGTTGGACTCGCGCACGAAGGGTTTCGTACCGTAAAACGGGGGCTACTTTGTCACCCGAGGTAACTTTGTCACCTTGTGCGCGCTGATGGTTTTAATTTTTTTTCAATTTTTTTTAATTGCTGCTTCCAATAAGGCTAATTAGTTTCTAATAAGTTCTAATTGACTATAAAAAAAATTCGAACGTATGAAAAAACCCCGGGTAGCCGGACCTACCACAACCTAACCTAACCTAACAGGTGCAGGTGGCGGAAACGGTGCGCGCAATGCAAAATGGTATGAGCAAAAAACAGGCGTCCAGAGTTTATCAAATTCCACGGAGCACCCTTACTAACAGATGCCTTGGTAGGCATACAAAACCTATGGGTCATCCAACCATCCTGAGTCAGGAGGATCATTGCAAGAACCCTTGGCGTAGATGCAGATTGGGGATTCCCGCTCACTAAACCCGATATCAAGCAAATAGTGAAATTTTTTTAAAAAATATTATTTTAAGTTTCCTTGTTAATGTTACAGAATATTTTTAAGATTTATTACGTTTGATAATATTATTTATCCTGTGGGAAATAAAGTATTTTGTACAATGATTTGTTTTTTTTTGCAATTTTATTTTGAAAATTAAAATATATACAGTGTGACCCACTCAAGACCGGGCACCCTCCATAAAATCTGTGTTTATAGTCCGATTTTGATGATTTTTTTTTCAAATATAAAGTTTCAAAAAATGTACTTTAGGGCTCAATGTCATGTTATTTCACAAAAAACAAGGCCTACTTAATAAAGTTTTTGTGGTGAAAAATTTGCAAAATCATATTAGCGATTTTCAAAAAATTTGAGTACACCCTACATTCGGCATCCCCAAAAACAGTTCTGTACCAAATTTCGTTTAAAAATATTAATTATTAATAATTCTGCAGTTAAATTAAATAATTCCCTATTTTTGCCAATTTAACGATGAGTTATCAAGTAACCCTTGAAAAAAACAATCCACGACAACGAGTTTTATTACAAACAATGATAAAAATACTACAAACAACACAATAACCGAATAATAAGTTAAACATATTCAAATAATTCTAGTTGCTTCTACCAGCCCTCCATTCAGTTCAATACATTTGTCGCATCTTTTCTTAGATTAACAGTTACATTCCTAAGCTGCTGTGGTGTAATATTTGCAGAAGCCTCTGTAATTCTAATACGTAATTCATCTACAGATTGAGGTCTAGACTTGTAAACTTGTTGCTTTAAGAAACCCCAAAGAAAGAAATCAAGGGGTGTTAGGTCCGGGGATCTCGGTGGCCACTCAATTAGCGGGCTATTTCGACCTATCCACTTATTTTCAAAATTTTCATTTAACCATTCCCTGACAACTGCCGCGTTATGCACAGGTGATCCGTCCAATTGAAATTTTAAATTCAAACGGGTTTGGCATGGTAAATTATGTATTGCATCCCAAAAGTCATTAATCAGAAAATTCAAAAACGTTGGACTATTCAAATTTCTCTCAAAAAAATATGGACCAATGATTCTATCATCAAGTATGCCACACCACACATTTAATTTCTGAGAATACTGTCTTCTTGTATTGATCACCCATTCAGGGTTTTCGACTGCCCAGAATCGCGAATTTTGAGAGGATACTACTCCGTTTGTACTAAATGTTGCCTCATCACTAAATAAAATTTCTTTTAAGAAATTTCTATTATTTAAATACTCTGCTTGAGCCCATAAGCAGAATTCTAATCGTCTAACATCATCTCCGTTTTCCAAAGTGTGTAAAATCTTTGGTTTAAAGGGTTTAACTTTATTAGTTCGCAAACATCTCCTAATATTTTCCCTTGGTATATCCAAATCAACACTGGCGCCTCTAATGCTTGCACGAGGATTGTTACGAAAATATTCTAATATTTCCTCATTCCGCCTATTTATTCAATGTTCCGGCCTTCTGTTTTTTAGTAAGTATTTTGACACACAACCAGTTTCATTAAAAACTCTATTTATTCGTTGAACCGTGCTTCTACTTACTGCAGGTCTGTCGGGATGTCTGTTGTTAAATTCTCTGGCAGCTTCTCCTGCTTGAAGATAGTTATCACCCACTAAACGAATCATTTCAATTTTATCCCTAATATTTAATTGTTCCATAATGCAAATAATATTTCTTGATACAACACTTTTCTGCGTGCTATTAAATTAATATTCAATTCTACGCTGCAAGAATTGACAGCTAATAAAACCCATTGTTGTGGATTGTTTTTTTCAAGGGTTACGTTATAACTCATCGTTAAATTGGCAAAAATAGGGAATTATTTAATTTAACTGCAGAATTATTAATAATTAATATTTTTAAACGAAATTTGGTACAGAACTGTTTTGGGGGATGCCGAATGTAGGGGTGTACTCAAATTTTTTGAAAAAAAATCGCTAATATGATTTTGCAAATTTTTCACCACAAAAACTTTATTAAGTAGGCCTTGTTTTTTGTGAAATAACATGACATTGAGCCCTAAAGTACATTTTTTGAAACTTTATATTTGAAAAAAAAAATCATCAAAATCGGACTATAAATACAGATTTTATGGAGGGTGCCCGGTCTTGAGTGGGTCACACTGTATATAGGTAGGTATATACATTTTTTCCGGGGATTCAATATCTGGGGTTACTTTGTCATTCTAGCTAGTTCTATGCATTTTGCAAGCATTTTTAATAATTACAAAATTTACAAAGTAGCCCCAAACACGGGGCTACTTTATCACCCTATTTTTTTTTGTTTTTTTTTTTAAATTCCCTATGGATGCTAAGCAGCTGGTTTTGTGGCTGCGCATACAAAATGATACCGTCGGTATACTTGATTTTTTTCAGGGCGAAAATCGAAAAAATAAAAAAGTTACAGGGTAAAACATGTTCAAAAGGTGACAAAGTAACCCCGTTTTACGGTACTATTCATTATCTATGCAACATCAGACACTATATTATTATAAACTTTTTTTCCGATTTAGCTAAAATTTTGAATGCGCGTATAAGTAATTAAAAAAAAATGAAGAAACACATTACTAAAAATAGTATTAATCAATAATAAATATGTAAAAAGTAAAAATAAATATATAAAAATTAAAACAAAAACGATTAAAAAAAAGTCACCTTGACTAGGATTCGTCTTACTACGGCTCCAATGTCATAGCAGCGTAAAGTCCTAACGCTTTAACAACGCGGCCACCGAGGACTTGAAAGATTCTATGTAAAATTCTTACTTAAAAGATAATGTTTAGTGAAAGTACTTTTTTATTTATAAACGTTTATTTAATTCTGTTTTTAGTATTTGTTCTTATAGCGGCAACACAGATACATTATCTGTGAAAATATCACGACTCAAAAAGTGCATAATAAACAGTTCTAGCCACTGACGAGTTAAGCTCCTTGGAAACAGATCTTAATGCAAAACAGGCAGAGCTCAATTTTTTCGATAAAGCTTCGATATGCATGTCCCATTTCAGAGAATTGTCCACAACAAGCCCTAAGAATTTTAAAGATTTCACGACGTCAATGGTGGTGTTGTTAAGTACAAAAGGCAGCGAGTTTTTATACGACAAAGCTTTACTTTTAGAAATGTTGAGACTCAGGAGGTTCGAATCGCACCAAGATTTAATGGTGATTAAGTCATTTGATATAATTCTATGAAGTGCCGTAACGTCCTTGTTGCTCCAAGTGAAGCTAGTGTCGTCGGCAAAAAGACATATTTTGCCACTGATGTTTATGTTAGCAATGTCGTTAATAAAAAGAAGAAACAAAATGGGGCCTAGTACTGAGCCTTGTGGTACTCCACATTCTATTGGCTTGCTAGAAGACAACGTGGTATACACCCTCACAAGTTGACTTCTGTTGCTCAGATACGACTTAAACCATTCGAGAGATGTTCCCCTGAACCCATAGTGGTGCAGTTTATTAATTAGGATCTTATGATTTACACAGTCGGACGCCTTAGAAAAATCACAGAAAATTGTTGCTGTAGAATGATGGTTATTTAGGCTGGAGTAAACTTTATTAAGGAGGGAAAACATAGCGTCATTTGTGGACTTGTTGCTTAGAAATCCAAACTGATGTTCAGTAAGTATTTTGTACTTAAACAGAACAGATACCAGCCTTCTATTTAACCAACCTTTCTATGATCTTAGATAGCGTTGGAAGGAGTTCAATTGGGCGATAGTTAGAAGCTTCATCTTTGTCTCCTCCTTTATGCAGAGGAACGATTATTGCCGTCTTAAGACATTTTGGAAAAATACCATTTTGGATTATTTTGGAATATTACGTTTTCAGTTTCTACGATTAAAATAAAGGCAAATCTGATTAAGGTTTACCGCACTTCAATCTTACCGTTTTTGAAATTACGATTTCGTGAAAATGCAGTAACAATTTTAATGCTTCATTTCTTTCGGCATATTTAAGTTTTTAAAACCAAATATTCTACTGAAGTTTTTTTCTATTTACTAAATTTTGTGTTTAATAAAAAATAATACCTACTACCTTATACAGTGTGTCTAAAAATTTATTTTAAATAATTACTAGCTTTAAACGTGGCAATAATTTGTTTAATTTAAACGGTATAAATACGGTAACACCTAGTATATTTTACATTAATCAGATGCACAAGTTAACTGTCTATCAAATTGTATTATACCATTTTTTACCTACCTCTTCAAGGTTTCGTAGAAATGCATTTTCTAATAATTTAGACCTTATTATACCCATGGAATATTGACATTTTAGATTATCTTTAAAAATATATGTAACAAATTTTCACAGTACAGATACTAATATTGTCGATATAATTCGTTTATTTCTTTAAAAAATAAAAAACAATTAAAAAAAGGAATTTAATGCAAATTAAACTTTAAAGAAAGAAACAATTTCAAAGAAAGATAAAATATTTATTTTTCAATATGAATCAGTATTATGTAGTATTGCTTCTTGTATAATTTTTTGCAGTCAGAATTATTAAATACTATTGCAATAAATTACCCATATCTTTTTTTTGAACAAATGAAAAAAATTACCTACGAAAAACGAGATGTGTAAATAAAAAACCTGAAAAAAATGCTTGGTTTCAAGACCGCAAGGGTCTTGTGAGCTGGGTTTTGGTTTTGAACTTGCGTCGGTCATGATCTTGATTTTGGAGATCTAGCGCATAGATAAAGTAAACAAGTTTAGATTGGAAAGTATCCATAAGGACAATGTAAACACTATTTGGCGCTATTCTTGCAACGGTCGCGTCCCAAAGCTTTTGATAATTTCGGATCGGTTCGGCTTTTTCCGGAATTATGTCGCGAAATATTATTTATTCAAATTTATTTTATTTTCTTTTAATTTTAAAAATAAAATACAGTGTGTTGCATACAAGAAACTTTATTTTATATAAAGACATGTATGTGAAATACCTATGAAACATGGGAAACCGACGTTATGCCACGATCCACGATGGTTTTTGCAGTTCATAGCATGCCCTAGACACTCAATGGTAATTTTATAGAACTACAAATTTAGTTTCTTCCGCATCGCCAGACGGCGCAAAAGACATTAAAGTACAGTTTTCTAATTTATATATGAAGATGACATGACAGTCCCTATGTTGACTATTGTCTATAGTCTAGTTTTTGTCTAGTTGACAAAATGTTGGTGATCCGTCAAGTTATTTTTAAATCATTATTTAAATAATTATTAATTAAGATATTCCTGATTTGTCGGAAAGTTCGGTGATTTGTGTTTATAGTTTGTGTTTTTATTAGTTTGTGCATTCTGATATTTACAGTCGATCATTATTTTCGTGTACATTTAAAAATACTAAACTTTTTTATTAAAGTCTTTTTGACATTTCAGAAATGATAAATTTATGAACCAAATAAAAAAATATTTTAATCATAAATAAGTAAGTACAGAGTTGGTAATATACATATAGTATTTTTAGTAACTGTTAAATAGTAGTCTATAATATTTTTGCTGTATTATAATTTATTTGTTAAATCAAAAAAATAGGCGCTATGTGCTCTATTGTCGGTGTTTGAACTGTATGTATTCATAAATTTATTTTTGTTTTAATTATGTTACACTTCTAATGATCTAATAAAACATAAAATAGCAGTAAAAAGTCTATATTTATTATTTTATATTTTACGAGGAATAATTTTGCGCTTGAATAACGTTACCGTTTTAGTTAGCGTTAATAAGTAACGGAATGCTAAAATCATGTTATGCCAAAACTCTCCATTAGTTTCTTCCGAATCAACAGGTGGCTCTAAATGACGGATCCATTTGTTTTATATCAGTGTCCAATCTATCTCTAGTATATGACATTAGTCTATGGCTCACAGTTCACAACACAGTTTTTTAGTTTTTAATGCCACTTTTTCACAATTATCACGGGTTTGAGGAAGTAAAGTTTAAATTAAACTCACAAGATAGCAATAATTACTTTGAGAATGGACGCTTTAAACATTTTTCGGTATTTTTTTAATGAGGGCGGTTTAAATTTTGAAGATTCTGACTTTGACAAGAGAAAATTATTTCTGTTATTGTTTGGCGGATGTTCTTAGCAACCGCTACAGCAGCGCCAGATCGCGTACGACGGTCGCGACCCAAAACAGTTATATATTCTGACGGGCTTTCCAATCTAAATTTATTTCCTTTATCTATGAGCTAGCGTTAAGCTTCATTCAGAATCTTCCAATTAGTTGTTTCAATTACACTTTATAATTTTTAGTTTTGGATCATAACAATGTCTAAAAAACACAATTAAAATTAATAAAATATTCTACATAATATTTAGCTTATAAAACAATAAACTTTTGATTCCTAACCAAAATTTTTCGTCACGGGCATGGCTGGGAAACTTAAATGGAAATGACAGTTCATTAAAAATAGTTTTTCCTCCAAGATGCAGAGGCGCAAAAATTAAAACTGTCAAAATCAACAATGCAAATGTCAATATCTGACAATAATAAAATTTGATTTTTAACTGACACGAGACACTCAGAGACGCTTTTGTTGTGATTTTACGGTTTGATTTCGTTTTGATTTGTCGAATTATTGTAATTTCTTCAGATTTTTTTGCAGTATTCTGTTTTAGACAATGTTTTTTAAAAATGGTGAAACAATTTGTGTTTTGTATAGATTGTTAGTTATTTTTTATCATGGAGCATGGAATTTAATTGTTGTACGCCGGGTTTCCGAATGGTAAGTAAATTAAATATATCTACTTTCAGTTATAGATTTTTTAAAGTAGTACTGCAAGGGTACTGCTAATAAATTCTACTTGCTGAGCAGTTATTTATTTTTTTACGGTGCATGTAAGGAATTAAGGACGCGCGTTGCGTTATATTAGCATGATCAGCAGAAGGTTAAATCTAATTTAATTTGTTTTTATTATTTCAGGTCTCAAACGGAAACAAACTGGGAATCTTGCCTACACCAAAATTATATAGCCGTTTCCAATTCACTTCAAAGGGAGGAAAATTATGTAAAACTGCCTGCTATTTGCTGAAAACCGCCAAAGATTAAATTATAACTGTAACAAATTAATATATACTATTACTAGTCTTTTTAATTTTTTTTTTAAATTAATATCCGACATTATTACATAAATTAACATTAGTCATACATGTAAGAACACTTTGTATGCTTTTAATTAAGTTGATTTATCGTTTATAATATGTTCCACCTAATTAAAAGCACACAAAGTGTTCTTACATGTATGACTAAATTTATTTTAAATTAATTAAAACAACCCCCCTACCCCGCACCCCTCTCTTCCCTTAGTATTTCTTCCTCCGACTACCAGAGGCGCCCTTGTATAATAAAATTGAAATGTATTATAAGTTGCCTATCTATTTAATATTGTAAGTCTTTTATCTATGGTCACGGGTGATATAATCAAAGGCCAAAATGTCATTCCTTGCAAATTTTGAAGTATAATTAGTGGAAAAGTCAAAAATTTGTTAATTTTTTCCACTAATTGAAAATTACTACCACTAATTATGACGTTCTGAATGCTTACATTAAAATTAGGTGAACAAAATTCTACGGTTAATTTTAACTACTAATTTATTCCACAAATTTCGAGGTTCTGAATGAAGCTATAGTCTAGACCAGCAGACTAACACCAATCTCGCTCATTTATAAGTGTGAAAGAAAATTAAACTTACATATGGTATCCTGAGGTATTGAGCTATGTTATTCAGGGTAGCCACCCTCTGTTTCGGTTTGACAGTTCGAAGGTTTTTGTCCACCAGCAATGTCAAAACTGTCTCGTCTTCGTTGGCTTTGCATTTTCCGGTGTTGGCACCGGAATTTATCACGTGAATAGTGATATTCTCCACTGTTTTTGGTTCACCGACCTTTGCGATCAGCATTTGTACGATTCCTTCATCCCCTTGGAGCGGTACACCCCAAAACACTCCGGATTTCTTGCTGAAGACCAGCCAATGAGGTAGACGGTTTTTGGTAAGTTCTCTGGCCTGTAAAATGAATTTGAATCTCAGTGGAGAAACTCTAAAGATTTAGATATCGTAGAGAACTACAATATCTAGATCGGAGATTTTTTGTACATCATTGTTTTACAATAAGATCTATCGATTAAAAATATTTTCAATATGGCGGCACTTCCGGAAATACCGGAAGTTGACAACAACTTTCTTATCTTAAATGGGTGCCTCCATTTTTTATTACATATTTAAATTCTCTGTAAAATTTTATGAATTTTGATATTAAACACTCTATACCTAACATTAACCGTTTTAGAAAAAAATATTTAAAATTTTTGGACGAAGAAAAATATGTGTATAGTCTAAACGTCAAATTCAGTGATTACCACAGTCACTATGCTATAAAGAGAGAACATGTGGCTATCTATTTCAAGAATTAAATTGTTCAAATATCATATAATAATGGCCGCAGCTGTCATAGAATTGAGCGATTAAAAAATTATCATCAAACATTTTTTTTCAAATGGAAACCCACTTTTTTATTTCACTAGTGAAAACGCTTTTCAATTCGTTACTTTTTGACTATACATGTTCCTGTACCTAAAATAAATCTTTTTTAAGTTATACAGGGTTGTTCACCACATACGACACGGAGTATTGTAGCTAAACGATTAGATTTTTACAAATTGTAACTTTTGGGTTCGTTGAAGGATTATTAGAGCTACAATTTAAAAATATTTTTACAAGATACAGAGTGTCCCAACTAAGTAAAAAATATTATAGTTGTATTTTTTTAAATGGAACTCCCTGTATATTATTCTATTTTTAGATTCTACCATTAAAATAAAGGTAAATTTGATTAAGGTTCATCATACTTAAACCTTGCCGTTTTTGAAATATTTTCAATTTTATGAAATTGCAGTAAAAATTTTAAGGCTTCATTTCTCCAAGGGTATCAAAGTTTTTAATACTAAATATTTACTGAAGATTATTTATTGACCAGATATTGTGTTGCAATAATAAAATTTACTACCTTATACAGAGTGTCCAAAAATGTATATTAAATAATTACTAGCTTTAAACGGCAATAGCGTGTTTAATTTAAATGGAACACCCTATATATATTTTGCGTGAATCAGATGCACAATGTAATTGTCTATCAAATTATATTATACCATTTTTACCTATCTCTTCAAGTTTTCGTAGAAAATGCATTTTCTTATAATTTAGACCTCATTTATCACTATACCCATGGAATATTGAATTTTCCAAGAGTACAGATACTAATATTGTCGATATAGCTCGCTTATTTCATAAAAAAAAACTCTTGTTAAAAAAAATTGTTAAAAGGGACCAATTAATATGATCCCAGTATTCAGACTACATTAACTGTTTATGTTGATTAATAATAATTGCTCCAAATACTAAAAAACTGAATTTTGTGTGTGTATTAGACAGTGTGGTAAAAAGTAACGCCTTATAAATTTTATTTCATTTTTTGACGAATGCTGATTTATAAAAACAGAGACGTTTATTTTCATAATTTATTATTATATTGATTTCTGAGCCAAATCCACATTTATTTAGAATACTTTATTAATTAAAACAATTTAAAAGTATGTAATTAACTAATTTTTGGTCGGAAATAATGGTGGTATATTTAATTCGTATACTCTTTTATAAAGATTTAAATAGTTTTTTTGGTATACCAATAGGCTTGCAATATTTACCACTTGTACATTTTCTGCATATATGTTGCTTAAAAAAAATCTGAAATGTCAATATTCCATGGGTATAGTGATAAATGAGGTCTAAATTATAAGAAAATGCATTTTCAACGAAAAGTTGCAGAGATAGGTAAAAAATGGTATAATAAAATTTGATAGACAATTAAATTGTGCCTATGATTCAACGGTTAATGTTAGGTATAGAGTGTTTGATATCAAAATTCATAAAATTTCACAGAGAATTTAAGTATGTAATAAAAAATGAGGGCTCCCATTTAAAATAAGAAAGTTGCTGTCAACTTCCGGTATTTTCGGAAGTGCCGCCATATTGAAAATATTTTTAGTCGATAGATCTCGTTGTAAAACAATTATGTGCAAAAAATATCCAATCTAGACCTTGTAGTTCTCTAGAAACTTCTAATGCGCGCTCAGTCTGGGACACCCTGTATACTTACTATAAATCCCTTGACTCCATTCTGTGGCAAAGCCAAATGGAACACTTTGCCCACCACGGCTACATAATCGCTTGTTTCGGCTGTTTTCTGTTCAAACTCCACTTCGAGATCTTCGGGAAGATCGAAGGTAAATTCGTCTTCGTGCAACTGCAAATTGGTCTGAGCCGATACGAAGCAACACAAGCCAACGAAGAGGCAAAAGGAAATTGACAGGTGATGTTTGGGTGACATGGCGGAGGTCTCGATCACGCAGCCATTTATTCTGAAAACAAAAAAAAGATACTTATTAGACAACTAATAATTGATATACTGAGCTATAGTCAACTATAACTTTTTCATTTTTTATATAAAAAAACGAGATTTCGTATGTTAGTATGTGACATAAATTAGGATTGATTGACGTATTCGTTGTTTGAGGAATTACTGTTTCACCGGAAATTACTACAACTTTTGATTTTTAAATGGCACCCTCGGTATTTTCTGGCTTTATTTGAGAAAATGACACTCTAATAGAATGACATATCATCTGTCAACTTTTGACATTTTCGAATATGGTTTATTTGAAATTGCAACATGCGATTCATGACGATAATTTGACTCGAAATACCAAGTGTGTGTTACCAAATTATTCGTAAAAAAAATATTTTTCCAAATACGCTAATAAGCCACTATCGTTCGATTTAAAAAAAATTGAGATATGATTAAAAACACGATTTGGGCATTTTTCAACCGGCCAGGATAAGAAACTAAAAACATTAGACGATCACATCTATTTTTCCAAGGCTCCTTGATTAAAAATTAGTGTTTTTAACACAGCCAAGGCAGTCTAGATTGAAATTCAAAATATGATTTTTTAAGCGAAAATGTCAAAAATTTAACTATGATATATCCATTGCCTGGAAATTTATATGGTGAAATTTTGATAAAATAATTTAGTACTCACTAAAAACACGGTATGTCGCTAGTGGTAGGAAAAATAATTTTTAGAGGTTACTAGTTTATTTGGTTGCTTGTGATATGCATATACAGGGTGTTTCCTAATTAATCTAAAAAATAAAAAATCGTTAGAAAACGGATTAAGGCGGGCTCTTAATAAGTATATTTATTTTTTTCTCGGCATGAACAAGAAAAACTCAAAAGATTCATTTTGTTGAAAAAGGATGGCCAGTCAAGAAAAAAATATATTTTCTTTAAAAAACAGTAGTGTACCATTTATTTTAAGCAAAATATCGATTTTTTTTAATTTTTAACACCCTGTAGATCAGAAAGGAAGTACTTTAGACCCAATGGTTATATAAAAAATTGTTTTTAAGAACACATGAGGAATCACACCACAATTTTTAAGACTAATTAGAAAACACCCTGTATATTGTCAACTTGACAATGATTGTTGATAAATCAAAAATACCTTTTCTGTGAAAAAAGCCCGATTTTCGCAGGAAAAATTTTGGTTTTTATTGAATTTGGGCCTGCGTCTGCAAATACCGGTATGTTTTTTAATATTCTATCTATCTAAATTTTAAATATCATAGTCAGAAATAGTTTTATTATTTATTAACTGTAAAAATGGTATACTTATAAGTTTTATCAAATATTGTGATTTACTTTCTACCTTGTAGTCAAAATTTATATTTAATAAACTGTAAAATATATTATTCTTATGTTTTATTAAAGTTACTCTGATATACTAATATATCAGTGTAACTTTAAAACTAAATCCTTTGAAATCAAATATAAACATAAAAAATATTTACAGCAGAAAAGGCGAAGGCGCTGGGTTAAACGTAGTCTCTACTAAGAACACGGAGGGGCGCTTTGACCCAAAATGTTACTATTAAGTTTCATATCTATCTTAATAGAATATTATTTTCTTTATCTATGGATATATCATTCTATTCAGAGTGTCATTTTCTATCGAATATAACCAAACTGTACCTATAAAATATTGTGATTAAAAATAATTTGCATTGATTTTGAAAATAAAATAAAAAAAATTATGTGTTTCTTCAAAACTATAGACATTTCTGTATAAATTCTTTTTAAAAATAATAAAAAAAAGTTTAGAAAACTCACCAATAATAATAACCAAAGCACCAATTAATCCTTAATAATTAATTAAAAAAAAAACAACTAAGAACAAAATGCTAAGTTTTATAGAGAAGAACTTTCCTCCAGAATGTTCAGCATTCAACTAAACACATACACACATACTTTACGACTTGACATACATCTGTTGTACAGGCTAGTGTAACAGATCAGTATTTGTCATACCTCTAATTTTAATTACAACGAAATTGAAACCACAGAAAACACCGAAATATTATAAGAAATTTCTAAAAATATATATTGTCATATTCTGAAATATTTGTTTTAAATGACCGCGAAATATTAACAAGAAACTGATTTTAAAAACAATATGGCTTCCTAAAAGTGCAGCTAATAATAAAGCGTGTGTTTCGATGAATTAGGAATATTGAGATCATTGTTTTTAAAATTATTAATTTTGGAGAATTATTTGGGTGTATATATTTAATTTTTTATACAGATAAAGCGATCTCCAGGAATTTTTGTTGATTTACAACCACATATGTAATACTGACATTACTGACTTAAAAAATTTGAAAGTATCAAATTATCTACATGTCTTCCCTCTTCCATTTCCCTCACTCGGTTTTTCTTATTTCTCGCCTCGTTTAATTAAGCAAACTATTCTTGTAATATCTTTATTAAATACTGATCTAACATCATCAACAAAAATAAACAAGAAGATTAACAATAATAATTGAAGATTTTAATACATTTATTTGTTTGCTAGACTTCTTTGGCTTAAAACCTACATTCTGGCGTTTTAAAAAAGTGTGTGATATTTTGATATGTCAGTCTTTTCCCTTAATTCTAGCATTGTCCGTATCATGCTGTACGTAGTCCAAAGATTAGATGGCTTTTACTGCCTTGCCATGTCGCCAAAATATACTATCAAGACTGTCTCCGAAGCAATATTACAATTTTATCCAGCCATCGTCAGTAATTTTATTATTTGCATTTCTGATATAATAAAATTAAAATAAACATATAGTTTACAGGACGTATTGGAAATAAAAACGCGAAATTCACCGAATTTTTCAAATTTACCTTGATTTTTATTGAACTCAAAAAAATACACACTTTTTTTTATTCTAAACTGTGAATTAAAAAAAAAGATAAAACCATTTTTACTTAATAAAGGGTATAGCCTCCTCTACTGTTCATTACAGCCCTACATCGTCTCTCCATGCTCCTGATCAGGTTGTCGATCTCTTCTTGAGGTACAGCCTGCCACGCTGCATTCACAGCCCGAACCAGATCCCTACGAGTTTCACGAGGCATACCCATTCTCAAAATTCTTCTTTGGATCGCGTCCCATACGTCCTCGACGGGGTTTTTGTTTGGGAAGATGTTTAATTGATGACCATTGATAAACTCACTTACCACTCCGGCTGTATGAGGCCGTGCATTGTCATGCATGAGAATAAAGTTTCTCCCAAGATCATTGGCATATGGTAACACGACAGGCTCAAGAATTAAATCACGATATGTGATTCCTGTTAGAAACCTTTCAAGAAAAACGAGATCGGTTTTTCGGCCTAACTGGACTCCTCCCCAGACCATAACTGTTCCACCTTGATAAGGGTGCACTTCCTGAACATGTTCCAACCGAATAAGATTTCCCGGTTCTCTCCATACCCTAAGCCTTCTCGAATCCGGATGAATTCCAAAGCGTGACTCATCCGTGAAAAGAATATTGGCCCGTTGTTCATTCGACCACTGAACATGATCTTGAGCCCACAAATATCGTACCTCTCGATTTCCTCTCGTTAAGGGTTGAGCTCTCCAGGGGCGTCTGCTTCTTAGGTTGACCTCTCTTAATCTATAGCGAACAGTGTCAGGACTAACGGTTACATTATGTGTTTTCTGGAGAATTAAACTAAGCTCTGTTGCTGTAAGAGTCGGTCGGCGTCGAGCATTTAATTGTAAAAAATGATCTTGCTGAGTGGTAATAATGCGATGTCGTCCTGTGTGCCTTTCAGCAACATCACCACTTTCACGGTAGCGTGCACTTAATCGCGATATTACACTTTGCGTTGTATTTAATACTCTAGCTACGTCAATTTGGCGCATTCCAGCTTCGAGCGTACCCATGGCCCTTAGCATTTCGTCTCTGTTAAGATGTCTACGCTCCATAATGTCGTTTATACTAAACAGAGTTATTTGAATGAATTCTGGCCAGTTATCATAAAAACATAGCCAGTACAGGTTAAATTCGAACAATTGATGCTAGGTGCTTTTTATACATTTGACAAAAAATGCACAAACACTTCTGCAAATATCCCAAATTTAGAAATAACTAGTGTGACTACTTCGTTTCAGTCGAAGTAGAAAGAATCGGCCTACAAATATGTGGTTGTTTATTCAAAACATTTATTTTTAACTTTAATAAAATGATATCCCTAGATTTTTCCGGTGCGTGTATTTCATATCGCCCCCTACTTTTCTCTGGAAGTAAACTGGCTTCTGCTCTTTTTGCAGCTTCTGTAAGTTCTGGTGGAGTACCAATATTAAAGTAGTCTTCATTATCAGAACTTTCCGGCAACATTGTGGCTTTCTATGTTATATAAATTCGAAAAAGCGAACGAGAAATTCAAAACTGTCACTTAGTTGTTTGTTTTGCTGTTGAAGGTATGTGCCATAACAACCACTGGTACCGGTAACTATAGATATAAAAATGCCAAAACACAAAACGACAAATTTTTTTCATATTTATTTTTTTTCAAAATAAAACACTGTCCCTATTTTTTAATTAATTATGTGGTTGTAAGTAAAATAGTATACAAACCTCGGAGGAAAGTTTTCATTATTGTCTCGAGATTTAGTTAATCTCTCGACAGTAATGAAACACTTCCCTGCTCGGTATGTAATATACTATCTTTATACTATTACCACAGATTAAGTATACTATATGTACCTATACAGATAAAAATCTTATCCCTAATTTGTGGTACGAAAATTGTTTTTTATGACGATGTGCAAACGAGTCAAATTTCCTGTGCGCAAAAATAAGCTCCCGTAAAATAACAATAGACACCGTAATAGAGAGATATCGCTAAACCGAATAGCGTGCATGGACGTTAATAAGGCCAGATGTTATTTCCTTTACGTGAGGTGGTATTAACTCTCTTCATTTATAGTTATCGGATCGGAAAGAATTCTGTTCGCGTCGCGTCC